TATTTTTAAAATTTCGGCTATTTGCATTTTACATTAAAAATAGGTATGGTGTCAGGTGTTGAGGGGAGGAGGCAGGAGGAGGCGTGTAGCAGACACACAGTGATTCTCACAGTTGTAATTCTTCCTGACGCCACATAGTGACCGTGTTCACTCACAGTAGAGTGTGAGCCAAATCTGGTGAATGACAAGGGGTTCCACGGAGACCTGGCACTCGTAGACGCCTTGGTCGTTCTCCTCCACCCGCAGGATGTTCAGCTGGTGCTCTTCTTCATGTCGCCTCACCTGGAAGCGATCGCTGGAGACGTATACGAAGGACCCACAGCCACGATACTCAGTCCTTGTTGCGCACCCAAGATACCTGGCAGAAGAAGATGGGAGGGAAGGAGGTGGGAGCGTTAGGTATTTGGGAGAGAAGGAGGATGGTCGTAGAGGAAAGTACTTGAAGAAAAAGTGAGAGAGGGAAGAAATGAAGGAGTAATAGGGAACGAGTAAAAACAGAGGAGATGGATGATTGATTTGAGAATTTAGATTTTGCCGCCTAGGCGTTTAATTTACTGTACATCCCATATCCATCGTGTGGAGGGTAGCGCAAGAGCATATGGATGCACAAAAGGGTTTACAATAGTACATCTGGATTTATATTTGGAGTTAATATGTCTGGTATATATATTTTAATGAATATCATACCATATCACATAGGTTATTATACTGTCTCTAAATTCCTCATTAAGTGTACAATAAAGCACAAAGTGTTCAAGATTGTGACCATAGGATTGGCCACATATTTTGCATTTGGTTTGATCATCATCTGTGTGTTTAATAATCCGCCAGAAGTGCTTGTAACAAAGCTTGTAACCAAGCTTGTAACCAAGCCTGTAACCAAGCTTGTAACCAAGCTTGTAACCAAGCTTGTAACCAAGCTTGTAACCAAGCTTGTAACCAAGCTTGTAACTAAACCATGCCTGGCTACTACGACTGTGTATGGAATTCATCTCTTCATTCAATTCACTGCACTTGTTTGCTAAACTGATGCAAGACTGTTTTCCTTAGAGCTCATCTGATTCATCTCTGTGTTTAGTTTCCATCTAAACATTTCTATATATACTGTACACAATAACCCGCACATAAAAGAGAAAAGCTTACGACGACGTTTTCGGTCCGACTTGGACCATTTACAAAGTCACACGTAAGCTTCTCGTAAGCTTCTCTCTTTTATGTGCGGGTTATCTGTGTATCGTTCCAGTCACGGTATTGTGCCTTTTTTGTTATCTATATATACTGTCTTTGTCATTCTTTTGAGTAATTTGTATATCGTGATCATGTATCCCATGGTTTCTGTCTTCCTAGGTTATGTTCACTTCCTTTAGCCACGCCTACTAGTTCAATTTTTTTCAGTTCCGTGGCCGTCTAAGACAAATCACTGATAGAGAGTATAGGTAAGGTCTATGGAACTAGCCAGTAGAGGCGAAACGAGGAATAAGAAGGGAAGACACTCACGGTGGCGTCTCCAAGGTTGTTAACATGACAAGTGAGAGTGGCGGTGTCTCCTGCCCGGACTGTCACGTTGCTGCTGAGGCTCTCTACGATGCTCGGTCTCTCGGTCCCCTCCACACCTGCCAGAGAACACACATCTCATTACACAAGAGGCAGGAACCAAACATAGCTTTAAGATGAGGTATGATAAAGCTCATGGAGCAGGGAGAGAGAGGACCTAGTAGCACTCAGTGAAGAGGCGGGGCCAGAAGCTGAGTGTCGATCCCTGCAGCAACAATTATGTGAGTACACCTGATGCAGACACACACACTACTCGACACACCTGTCTGACAGTATGCCTCACTCAACGCACCTGCTAGAAAACACATTTCTCATTTTTCATAATTTCTTAGGACCAAGCATGTACTGAGTTCGCCTGTCCAATAAGTTAATAATAATAATAATAATAATAATAATAATAATAATAATAATAATAATAATAATAATAATAATAATTTTGTTTCTACAAGTACTTATACAAGGTATACAGGCTTAGCTGACATCAATAACATACTACCATATAGAAAGCCGCTTGTTATGCAGAGCATTTCGGGCAAATTAGTTAGTTTTGTCCCAGGATGCGACCCACACCAGTCGACTAACACCCAGGTACCCATTATTATTGATGGGTGAACATGGACAACTGGTGTAAGGAAACACGCCCAATGTTTCGACCCCTTTGCCGGGAATCGAACCCGGACCCTCACCGTGTGAAGCAAGAGCTTTTGCCACCAGGTTTCATTCTACATGTACCTACTGGAGTGCTGACATTCACTCTTCATATCAACCCTGAAGTGAATAATGCACTCTGTACAGTTAGAACGTGTGTGCATGTATGCGCGCGTGTGAGAGAAAGAGAGAGAGAGAGAGAGAGAGAGAGAGATGAATAGTTCTCTGAATAAAAAGGTCACACAACATACCCCAGGCCGTGGGCGAGGCAGGTGTTACTGACTCCACAGCGAAGCTGC